GGCCCCCTTCAGTCTGGACCACTCCAGATGCCTCCGGTTGTTTTCTCCCTCATATATGCAATAAGCCTTCTCCTCCACCATACTTAGGAGCAGTCATGTCCTCATTTTCTTTCATTCAGTAGAATCTTTTGGCCATGGAGTTTAGACAAAGGGCAACAGAGCAGGACTAGGGAGTTACAGTCTCCCTAGTTCTCACCAGAGGTCTCTTCCTGGTCCACATGAGACACTGTGGCACATCACCCCCACCACCCTGCTTTCTGCGCCATGATGGGCTGGATTCCTCTCAAATCCTGAATCAAAATGAACTCTTCCACCTTAAGTTGCTTTTGGTTGGGTATTCGGTCCCAGTTAGAAAAGGGAACTAAGGGCTAAAGGCTGCAGTGGTGTTCACACAGTACCTGATGTGCGGGAAGTGTCCAGTCAACAGGAGTCCCCGCTCCCCAGCATCTACTCCAGAGCTGTGAGCACACTAAGTCCTGGATAATTACCTGCAGGTGAATGGCTAAGAACAAAGGACTCAATCAGAGAAACCCACACCGAAAGACACAGGAGAAGCCCTGCCAGAGGAATCAAGTAGCTTTCCTTGGCTAGCCCAGGCAAGACATTCTGCCTGAGGAGAGACTTGGGGTGGGGGATACAGAGAAGGAGGGGGGAAATCAACGTGACTTGGCAATGAGATCATGAAATATTGACTAATAGGAAATCAAGCTGGATTTAGGTGTTGCTGCTGTGGGCAGCTGATCTTTGTATGTTCAACTGAATTTGTCATCTGTCAAGATTCCCAGAAGACTGTGGGAGGCACATGTTTCTTATAAAGGGAAAATAAATTCTTACAGAAACCAGGTCTCACTGGTGTAGGCTTGGCTCCAGGCTCCTCAAGGACTGAGATTAGGGGTCTGGGGAGATTGCTCAGTTGGTAAAGTGTTTTCAAGGCAAGCATGAGGACCTGAGTTCGAACTCTAGCACGTGTGTATAACAAGCCTAGCTCCATACACACCCGTAATCCCAGTGTGGGAGATAGCGACAGAAGGCAGATCTTATAGGCTCACCATCCAGCACATTCTATTGAGATCCCAGGTTCAATGAGATACCCTGCCTCAAAAGATAAGGTGGGGAGCAATGGAGGAAGAGACTAACGCACACTTCATGCAATGCATGGACACGCACATGTGTGCACATACACGTACACACAAAATAAAAATACGTTGGTCTAGGGGCCTATGCACCGTCATTGGCACTTGTAGAAAGCCCTTCTAGAGGCTGGGGAGATGGAAAAGCACACTTGCAGGAAGACCTGAATTGAATCCCCAGCACTTATGTAAAAACATGGCTCACATGCCTTTTTGGCAAATTCCAGGTTCAGTGAAAGCCTGAAGGTAGGGAGAATAGATAGATGGAGAATACCACTAATCTTTGGCCTCCACACCTCTGTATACACCTCACACACACGCACACACACACACACACATATGCACACATACACACACACGCCTGCATCCATGCGCACACACACGTATGCACATGTTAGGGATTGAGAGGAAAGGGTATCATTTTCAGATACCGTTTGGTTTCCCAGACTCATCTATTGGGTGTTTGGGTATAAGGAGCTGGGTCAGCAGCTGGAGTGAAGTTTCCAACCAAACATCGGGTTCATGGCAGTAGCTGAATTCTCTGTGGAGGGAATGACCTGTGGCAGCCTCTATCAGTAGGGAGATTAGTCCCCCTCCTACCTGTTAACCACTGGGAAGGGTGGAGGTGACAGAGATTTACCTGGCTTTCTTCTGACTCCTTTCTTCACCCCTTCTCTCCTCTCCAACAACAACATTCATGACTGGCCTTTCTTTGGGGGGAAAAAAAAGGCAATTGTAATTAGGGCCCTCCTTGGCATACTGATATTCCACAAGTCTGTTTGGAGAGATTTACCCTCCATGACCACAAAATGCTAAATCTGGAAGGCAGGTCACCTAGAAGGCAGGTCATCTGGAAGGTAGGTCATCTGGTTCTAGAATTCCTCATGTGAGTGTGAAACCTAAGGGATCCGCCAATAGAACTCCCTGAGTCTATTGATTTAGATAGGAAAAAAAAAACCTGGGTGCTGTGTGCACACCTTTAATCCCAGCACTCAGGAGGCAGAGACAGGAGGGCCTCAGTGATTTCAAGACCAGTTTGGTCTACAAAGCAAGTTCCAGAACAGCCAGAGCTGTTACACAGAGAAACCCTGACTCAAAAAGCAAACAAAAAAACCCTAAAATTTACCATTTCCTTCAGTTACTGTTTATGAATGAAAGCAACACATTCCAGTCTTGGTGAGTGTGACTTTTTACCAAAAGAAATAATAATTTTTTAAGATTTGTGTGTGTGTGTGTGTGTGTGTGTACACATTCACATCAGCACAAGTGTGAATGTAGATACTTTCCAAGTACAGAAGAGTGCATCAGATCTCTGGGGACTGGAGCTACTGGTAGCTCTGAGCTGGGAATCAAACTCAGGGTCTCTGCAAGAGTAGTATCAGTCTTACCTGCTAAAGCATCTCTCTCTCCAGCCCCCATAATTCTCTTTGTATCTCACTACGGTTACTGCAAATTTCCTAGATTATAATTTACTTCTCATTCCCCTCTCTCTTAGACAGGGAGAGAGGCCTCCCACTTCCTGTATAGCCAGGGAAAGTCTTGAACTTGTCCCTCTGCAAGCGTGAGCAGGCCTGCATCACCCACCAAGCTTGCTTTGGACAGTGTTAGGGATCAAACCCAGAGTTCCATGGGTGCCAGGGAAGCTCTCCACTGTGAGCTACACCCTGGACCCTATTTTGGTTTCTTGCCCTTTAAATTTTCCTTTAAGGAACCCGTTCATAGGTATTGAACCTGAAAAGAACTGGCTGCTGTTAGGCAATCTCTGAGCTTTCAGCAGCCAGACAGCTTCCTAAGATGACTCACCGCCCCAAGCCAGCTCTCCATTGTGCTTTCGAGAGAGGAGGGGATGCGGAAACCCCCTCACAATTGGCTTCAGGGGTCTCTGATGCAGAAGAATTTGAGGTGAGAGGTCCAGGCCCAGGGGAGGGACGGTTTCTGATGAGGTCATGGGGAGGGAATGTCTCCCTGAGCAGAGGTGGGAGCCTGGGACAGCTGCCAGGAGCAGGGTCAGGAAGCAGGACAGACAGAAAAAGGAATTCTGCCTGAGGATTAGCCCTCTTTAGGGGTCTCAAAGAATTGCTTTGAAGTTTCGTCCTCAGGCAGGCTCGTCCTAGGGAAAAGACAAACAATGGGCTTTTGTCTCCCTCCAGCCTAGCAGAGGACCCAACCTTGCACTCACTGTGAGGGTCTGACCACAGCTGAGACCTGCCACCACTCCCAACACCCACACACCCCAAAGCTGCCTAGCACACCCTGCTTTCTAAAGTTTCAATGGAGTTTAAATTGTTTCTCAAGGGTTTCTTGTAGACTCCCAGACCTTGTTAAACATGTTTTAAAAGGGGGGATTTCAGAGACGGTGCCCTGGGGATCTAAGGTGTTTTGTGTTGTTTTTACATTATGAGAATTGAACCCAGGTGAGCGTTCATGGTTCCCTCCACCTCCAGCTACACAGCCTAGCAGGATCTAGGTTTTAGGCAAAGCGTCCAGCTGATTTTGGTATGCAGTCATGTTTCGTAGCTAAGATAACATGGTGTAGTGATAGTTCATTTGTATTTTAATAAATAAAGCTTGCCTGAAGATCAGAGAGTGAAACAACCCCACTGGTCAGCCTTACAGACTAGGCAGTGGTGGCACACACCTTTAATCCCAGGAGCCACACTAGCTTGCTCTGGAAACCAGGTGGTAGTGGTGCACGCCCTTAATCCCAGCGCGTGCTAGAGAGGATTATAAAACAGAAGGAGACAGCTCTCAGCTCAGTTTCATTTTGAGGATTCCTGGAGCAGGATCACCATTTCGGACTGAGGTAGAGGTAAGACCCAGTGGCTGGCTGCTTTGCTTTTTCAGGTCGAACCCCAGTATCAGTCTCTGGGTTTTTATTAATCGCGCTACACATGGGTACCCTTAATCCTGGTGTTCAAGGTCTCTGAAACCAGGCCCAGTAGGGAACACAAACTGCAATAAGATACAAATAACAACAGATGACATGTTTCAAGATTATGAGTGTGTGCATGCGTGTGTGTGTGTGTTTATGTGTGTGTGTGAGTGTGTGTGAATGCTGCCTGTGTGTAGATATCCAAGGAAACTATGAGTATTCGATCCCTTGAAATTAGAGCTACAGGTGGTTGCTGGGAATCAAACTTGGATCCTCTGGAAGAGCAGCACACACTCCTACCTGTTGAGCCATCTCTCCATCCCTAAAGCTGACATTTCTTGGGTGTCTGTCATGTGGAGTTTAGACGAGCCACCATCCAGTCGGCCTGCTGGCTCTGATCACTGCTTTGCGAACAAGAAAGTTGAAGCATACACATCATCAATAAAGTGTAGGGGTGGAATTCAAACTGCCATCTGTTAAAACCAACGTGTATGCAGTTGACCTGAAGTGACCCTCTATTCAGTTTGCCAGGGACCAAGGGGGCTACCTAACACATGGGACTTTTGCCACAAAAGCTAGGAGAATCATAGATGGATCAGACGCTGTCACGATTGGGAAATTTTGGGCTGAGCTTGAAGTACCTGTACCATCTTTGACCAGATGTCATTGAGCAAGTTCTCTGCCATGGGCTCCCCAGCCAGCGGCCTTGTCTGATTGACACCTAAGACACATTTGTCACATCGGTGAGTAAGACAGCGCCAAGAGCCATGCCCATGTGTGCCCCACATTATCCACAAAGGTGAGCTGCACGCAAGTGCACCTGGGAGGAGTGTGTTGCACTGTCCCATTGGTACTGATTTCAAATTTGTTACCATCTCTTTGAGTAATTACTGGCTGTTTCTTCCTCTGGGACTCATTTAATTCAATATCCTACAGCTGTCAGTCAAGATGAATTGTCTAAGTTCTCGCTTGCATTTTATTCATTTTATTTAGTTTTGATAGGGAAAGTTGTAATACAGTGTCCCACTACCACAAAGTACACAATAGAGGTCCCCATATTTGGGGACAATCTCAGGGTCAGAAGATCTGATTTGCAGTGACTAAGCCTCACCCTGGAAAAACTCCCTTTCTTGATTGAGGGATAACTGCATTTATTGAAATGATTTTTCGTTTAATTTTTAACAACTACATACATGCATATAATGTGTTCTGTTCATACTCAGTCCTGCCATTACCCTCACGTGCCCCTCTCCCACTGCTTCAAGCCTTCTGACACAGCAAATGTGTGTGGGGTGTACATGTGAGTGTGTGTGTGTGTGTCTGTGTGTGTACACATGAGAGTGTATGTGTGTGTGTGTGCATTTGTGGAGGGGCCTGCATGTGGGGTGGTGGGGACTGGGGGCAGAGGGGGTGTCCAGTTCTTACATCCTTGCTCTCTCCTCTACCAGGATGTTTCATGAGCCTTGGAGAGGGTGATACAGATGTCCCTTTCAGGCCTGTGAACTCACTTCTTTCATTTTTAAAGTTTTTTGCGTGTTTACAGGTGAAGGCTACAGTATTCTATAGCTTCATTTATTGCGTTCAGCACCCCAACTAAACTCTATTCTGATCAGTGAACTTATCCAATAACTATTTTATCTGTTTGTTTGTTATTCAAGATTAGATTGCTCTGTGTTTTTCTTTTCCTTGGCTGTCCTGGAACTCACTCTGTAAGATCAGGCTGGTCTTGAACTCAAAGAGATCCACCTGCCTCAGTCTCCCAAGTACTAAGATTAAATGTGTGCACCTCTGGTGTGGGAGGTTCTTCTGTATATGTGTTGCTTTTATTGGTTGATGAATAAAGCTACTTTGGCCTATAGCAGGACAGAATATAGACAGGCTGGAAGAGATACAGAGAGTAGGCGGCATTGAGGAGATGCCATGTAGCTGCCCAAGAAGCAAACCACAAGCCTCGTGGTAAAATATAAAATAATAGAAATGGATTAATTTGATATTTAAGAGCTAGCTAGAAATACGCCTAAGCTATTGGCCAAACAGTGTTGTAATTAATATAGTTTCTGTGTGATTTTGTTTGGGTCTGGGTGGTCAGGAAGTGAACAAGCAGTCTCTATTTACACACCACCACTGCCCTGCCCGATAAGATTTGCAATTGGTATCTTCATAGCTGATTTTGCCTCACATCTGCTTGGTTTTTGTTTGGCTCTACAAATTCTCTGAATCTCTCCCATTCACATTTCTTTCTCTGAGACATGGCTTGTTGCTTCCACCAGCCACCTTTCTGAGCCTCCCTTCTTCTCCTGAGCTTTGGCATGGAGTCAGCTATGTCCCTAAAGCTGCACACGCTGCGTGTGCTGCATTTCCCTTTGAGGGTGCCCTCCCATATCGTAGAACTCACCCCCCCTCCAGCAGTTTCCCTGTTGTTTGTCACCCCAGTTCACAACTAAGTCTCATGCCAGTGAGTCCAGGGTCCAACTTGGGCCCAGGCTCAGCACTGTGAGAGAGTTGGGGTGGACACTGCCAAGGCCTCCTTCCTTCCCTCTCGCATCCTCATAAGGCAACTTTCTGGAAGAGAAAGCCCAAGCAGAGGTCACTATCTTTCAGGCTCCTCTCATGGGAAGGATGCTCTAGTACCACGCAGTGGGCCTGGCTCTGCGGTCTGGGACAGGGTATCTGATTTCCCATTGTGCAAGGGAAACTCAGCTGGCTCGTGCTGCCTGCTTCAGACCAGAGCGCAATCACGCCTGACTCCCCAACTGAGGACTGAGTCTTCACTGTTTATTGAACACTGAGAATATCACATCTGCATATCCCTGTGCCTTTGAGCAGAGTTTCCCCTCCCCACCCACCTCATGTAGCCCAGGCAAGGCCCAAACTCATTATGTAGCCAATGATAACCCTAGACTTTTGATTGCCCTGCCTCTACTTGCTAGGATTACAGGTGTGTGCCACTGTGCCGTTTATATAGTCCTAAGGATCAAATTAGGACGTCGTGCTTGCTGGATAAGCATTCTGCAGAGTTACCATCCCTAACCTATGTAGCCTTTCATCATCCAACACTTAGAGAACAGGGTCATGAAACAACAATCCCACTAAGCCATCTCATCCTAGGTATTTTGCTGGAGTCGAGCTTTAAAAGAAAATCAAAATCAAGAGCAATTCAAAGTTCTCAGGGATGTTTCCCTTGGCGCTGAAAACAGTAATTATAAGAACCAAGAAAATGCAATAGGAGCCATGGTTTGTTTATCTGTTTGTTTCAACATCGTATTTTGATTGTTCCTTCGGGAATTTTCCATCACACACCCCGAACACACTCACTTCCCAGCCATCTCATATCAGTACCCCGACCACCACCAAAAAAAGTCCAGTTTGTCTTATCTATATACCCGCTGGAGCATGGTCAAACTCTCAGTGGCCTGTCCCTTAAATAGACCTGAGTTCTTCCCCTCCTGCACCCCCGCCAGAAGCCATCAGTTGTGGAGAGCTGCTCTTAAGCATCCTTATCACGCTTTTTAAAGAGTTCTCTACTGTAGGTTCCTGTTTGGGCTGTCACTTTGGGGGGGGGGTGTTAGGGTGGGGGTACGATTGTCACAGAAGCCTTCTTTATCCCTCTTTCTCGACTGTGCGTCTGCAATCATCAGTATCGCTGCGGGAGTAGCTTCCTTGGCCTTTACAGTCAGCAGGCGCATGGAGAGCGCATGGTTTCTGGCAACAGCACAGACCATGAAGAGTCCTGTTTTAATGGTAATGTACCTAACCGACTTTCTAGACCAGGTCTAACTCACAAGAGGTAGAACAGGAAAAGAAAGAGCCCTGTGTTTGACTCTCATTGAGAATCAATCACTAACTTCGTGCATGACCCTGGGTACCAACTATCTCTCCATCTTTCCGCACTAAAGGAAGACCCCCTTCAAAGTGGATCTGATGGCACAGACTTGGAAGCCCAGCTCCTTGGGAGGTGGGGGTAGGAGGATCAAAAGTTCAAGATATGCCTGAGCTACAGAGTGAGTTTAAGGTCAGTTTGAACAGCTAAGTGAGACTCTGTCTCAAAATAAGAAAGTAAATAAGAGGGTCGAGGCTGTACCTCAGTGGTAGGTCACTTGCCTGGCATGTGTGAGGAACTGGGTTCTATTCCCAGAAGCACCAAGAAGAATGGGTCACCCCTCCCTGCCCAGTTAGAAGGGCCTGGGATTCTCTCATTAGGTCAGTGCAGGCCTCACATTCCATGGAACAGAAGCAGGATCCCACGTGAGGCCCCATTCTCAAGGGCTATGTGGTATTCTCATTTTTCTTCTTCCTGCTGTGGCCCAAACTTGAATTCCTCATCAAGGCTTTAAGAAGTCTCACGGGGTGAAGTGGCTCCGTGGGCCCAGTGTTTGCATTCCATGGTGAGTCCCCAAGAGTGATCCTCAGCACTGAAGAGGGGGAAAGACTGAGAGAAAGTAGGGTCATTCTCTCTATTTCCCAGAGGAAGACACTACAATTAGCAGTTAAGCAGCACGTGCAGAATCGGAGTTAGCGTGAGAAAACAGCCCTGCCTTCAACACAGTCCCACCCTCCTGGGCGGGATCTCTGAAAAGCTGGCACTGTAAGGAGCAAAGGGGATCTCTCTGTGTGCCCAATCCGCCTGCTCAGGACTTCAGAAAACATACAGGCCCTCATAGCAAGTCTTCCAGTGGGCTGCAGCAGCCCACAGGGTGTTTACCACCAAATGAGATCTATACTCCACAGCTGGGCCAACTTCCACCCCCCCACCACCACTATCAGGTTTTGCCAATGTTAGGTTTATCGAAATCACAGGGGCTCACCTTGTAGATGAAGTCTGATAACCTCCCTCCGCCTTCACCACAGCACCCCAAGGCAGCATTAGAACCTGAGGGTGAATGTCCTTTGCCAAGGAAAACAGCTCTCAGCTTTCTGTCAAGGTCTTGGCCTCCTGACTTCTAGCCCAGGGCAGAACTGCAAACCTGGCAATATTCCTCCTTACCACTCATGATGCTATTCTGCTTGGCACATTTTCTCTCTTCAATGACCTTGTTAGCCCTGTTCCTATGCTGGGAAAGGCAGCCTGCCTGACCTTGATGCACATCGTACCCTGTTCCTGTAAACATCTTGCAAAACACATGTTGGAGACAAGACCCTAGAAATACTCTTGTTGACTTTAATTGCTGCTGTTAAGATTTTTTTTAATGGGGGGGGGTGATCCTTAAAGGCCAGAAGAGGGCATTAGGTCCTCTGGAGCTGCAGTTATGTGTGGTTGGAGCTTCCCAACACAGGTACTGGGAGCTGAGCCTCAGTTCTCTGCAAGAGCAGTAAGAACTCTTAGCCAGTGAGCCATCTCTCCAGGCCCAAATCTTGTGTTTGGTGCCAGAATGACAGTTTCCCACTCCTTTCTCTTATTTGTTTGAGACAGGCTCTTTTACACCCTGGGAGAACCTTGAACCTCTATGTAAGCAATAACTAACTTTGAAATCCTGATCCTCTTGCCTCTGCCTCTCAAGTACTGGAATTGCAGCATTCCTTCCCACACCCCGTTTATGAGGTGCTGGGAATCAAACCCAAAGCTTCATCTATGCTAGGCAGGCACTCTACCAGCTGAGTTCCATCACTACTCCCCCACATTATAAACTTTCTGAGTGCTGCCTGATTCCTTCACAGCCGCGGCTGTGAAGCAGTGTTCTAAGGGAAGAATGAGGCCAGCGACAGACATATTGGATTGTTCTGATTGTTTCCTTCCTGCTCCCTCCCTTATCTCCACACACTCTTCCTCATACCTTCCCTAACTCCACATACTCTTCCTCATACCTCCATCCATAAATCTCCCCTCCCTGGTCCTGTTCTCTGAAGGCTACTGTAGGCTCCTACATAGCCTAAAAGTCTGGGTTGAGCAGTGACCCTAGGTTCACTGCTGTCAAGAGTTTGACATCTTACTCTCAGATGGCAAGTTGTTTTGTTTGTTTGTTTGTTTGCTTGCTTACTTGATTATTTATTAATTTATTTTTGAGACAGGGTCTCTTTATACAGCCCCTGAATGTCCTGGAACTCACTACATAGACTGGGTTGGACTTGAACTCACAAATCTCTGCCTGCCTCTACCAAAATGCTTTTAGCCTTTTGAGAGGTAGCTCCATGGTGACAAGGGAGAAGAAATTGGAGAT